AACACTCTTCATTTGTCGTCTACACCGTCCAATTCATTGCCAATCCGTGTCTCTTCAACTCATATGACCTTTCAATGGCGAGTCTCAGAGATCAAAAGCATTGAATTCAATCTCTCATTCCCCAAATTCGCTCACGACTTTGTGTTCTGTTCGCTCTCGCTTGCACTGTGTTGTTTCGCTCCCTTCCGCAGCCGGCGGTGACACAGTGATTTTGATTTGTCTCTTTTCTCCCTCTTTGTCTCTTTTCTCCGCGTGATTTTAATTTGTTCTTTATAATACTCGTTCAAAGGTTCCGATCACTTCTGAAACTCATAATCTGTAATGGGTCTCTTTTGTTTTGACCAATCAATTGGTATTTTTGGGTTTAGATCCTTTGTTACAGATCGTTCTTGTTTCAATTCCAATTTTGGGAATCTGATTTGTGTTTTGCTGAATTTTTTGTTGGATGATTGTTTAAAGAATTTTAATAAATTATTCGATGAATTATCCCATTTATGATGTAAATATCTGGTTGTGGACAATTTGCTTAATCGTCGGAGGAAGGTATCCCCTTTTAACAATATTGAAATTTGGAAGCTTTTTAGAATGTTTTGGGTTGATTATAATAAGTTTGATTTCCTAAAAAGATTTGCTCTAAAATTTTGGGTTTTGAATTACCTCAAGAAGGGTGAGATCTGATAACTAGATTGATGGCTTGTTTGCATTATCTATGTAGAGGTTTTGCTTCAAATTTCATTTTATTACTTGATGGGCGGTGACACGGTTGGCCCTATTTAATGCTTCTTATTTTGACAAATGTTTCTCATATTTTACAGGTGAAGGAATAGGGAGGTCTGTTTGCATTCTTGTATTAAGAAGGCATTTGGGTTTTGTTTCTAGAAGAGAGAGGGGACTGACTCGGGGAGTCAGTGTAACTTCACGGGCTTAGTGTCCTCTCTCATCATCCTTCTTTATCTTGTTATTATTGCCACAAGGGTTATTTCCTTGATGTAAATGCTTAGCAGAGTTGGGTTTTGTTGATGAGCTTGGAGCACTAGGTGGAGGGTTTTATTCTATTAAGATAGGTTGACACTGGTGATTTGGGTGGAGGATGTGTAGCGAGCGTGAAGAGGATTTTGGAAAGCCAAGTCAGTAGGATGTATATATTTATATATTGTCATCCTTCTTGTTCTTTATATTTTCTAATTTCTCTATTTGGTTGCCTACAAAATGTTCCCTCTATTTATATAAAGGGGAAATTAGTGTTCAGTGCAAATATTATTAAAAATAATTTACATATTAATGGAGGGTTTTCTTATGATCTCATAGCAACAAATGAGGACGGTTCTGTGAAATTACAATGTTTGACAGAGTGCATACATGAGCGGGCCAAACATCCTCCTTTGAAGAAGTTTCTTCTAGTTCCAAGTGATTTTGTCAGTGCTGCTGGGCAGCTCAAATTGCAAATCTGCATATGGAGGTATCATGTTTTTCCTCAAATCTAAGGAGGTGATTGTGTTGTTTTAAAGTTATTGTAGATGTTGTGAACTTATAGTTCATTTCCCCTGGGAACTGACTTGGGTAATTGGGGTTTTTGTTCTAGCTTAAGTTAAACTTGCTTATTTTATTTATACCAGAAACCTTTTTATGCTGTAATTGTCAATTTTGATCTTTGCTTGATTGGTCGTGTGTCTCTTGGTGGCTGATAGTTTTTATTTTTGTTGGTATTTTTTGTTTCTTATTTTTCTAAGTGAAAGTAATTGGTGCACAAAGTAATTGTGGGCTCACTGATTCTATTGATATGATTTGGTGTGTAACTTTGTGGTATGGTTTTAGCATTACTGTTTTGGTAGATGAGAATAGAGACATCATAGTGTTTGTTGATTCTTTTTTTTTTTTTTAATAGCACAGAGCACTACGCAGGCAATTCGATTCCAGCTGCTGCAAGCTCCCCCATCTATCATTAACTTTTCTGGTGACTTGAAATATGGTATTCCTATTTATTCAGACTATGAAACTCTTTTAATAAATGTTTGTAGGTTGACTCCGTGTTTTGTCCATGATGTAAATTAGTTTTTGGTATGTTTCCCTTGAATCAGTATGTTGACCATTATTTGCCAAGTGATAACATTACTTTCATGGGAACTTGCAATACCTTCCAACTCAATGGGTAATATTAAAATGTTATTTCGGTTTTGTATCCCGTTAATTATGATATTTTACAGTTGTAGAAGAAGCTATGTTTGGTCAAAACTTATTTTTGGTGACTATTCTTTCTCGTCCAGCCGTAGAAGCATTTGACTTGTCCAACAAAGACAAGAGAAGCATTGAAAAGCTGTAGTTATAGCTTGCTCCTAGATGGGTTTGGATGGCTTCTTCTATACATAGGGGTGTCTAACAAGGTTAGTTCCTGTTAGATTCACTCTTTTGCTGTTCTGCAAGTGTTTCGATGGTTTTGAGCTCGAAACAAGCTGCTAGTTTAAGCATCGCTTTTTTTAGATTTATGGCTTAGGTTTTTATGACATGCTACATCCACCAAACATCCTCATTATTGGTACGCCTAGAACCTCAACTGACATTTTAGGCATAATGATAACAAAATGGGTACAGACACGAAGAGCACCATGGTAAAAACAACAAGAGGGTTGGTCTGGATCTATTTTCAAACTGATTGTTATGGGAAGATTTGTGCAGAGTGACTTTGTGGAGACTAATAAAACTTTGATTTAGAGAACCTGCACCATACCTTATTTTTCACTGGGGACATAAAATCATGCATGGGGTTCTAGAGTGCCCATTTACATGTTTACAGATACTGAATCAATTATCTGGTGTGCAATTTTGAATCTGGTTGCTCCCTGTATAAGCTTCTCTCTTTTACAATTATTTTTTTGTGCAATTTCCTTCATATTTGTAGTTTTGTTAAATTTGTGCTTCTGGTACTCTTAGTCCTACTTGATACAAAACTTTTAGATTTTAATTCTTACACAATTCTGACATTAAATTCACCTGTAGTTTGGACAACTAAAGCTATGTCATTAGCAAACAACAGACACCACATGATCTCAGGCATCTTTTTGAATGGTGCCTCAAAATTTATTGCTTGTAAAGAAATAAATGAAAATACTTAAGTGGACAGAAAATTGTTGCTAGCATTGGATAAAAATAGTTACTCTTGGCTGTTTCTTGATTAGCTTTCTACTATTTCTAAATTACTATTGCATATAAAACTACCTCATCACATTCTGACCATGTGATCTGAATCAGCCTACTCCAATTGCCAAATTTTCTTAGTATCTACTATTTTTATACATTACTATTATATTTTCCTAACTGCCTCTATCTTTGGATATTTATAGACTAGAACTGAAGGGTTTCGTTCTGTATGGGTCTATCAATCATTAAAGAAGTTACTGAAGCATGAGGATGTTTTAGGATTCTACAAGTAAGTTTAGGATTCTACAAGTGGTGAGGAATATATAATCACTTCGAGATTTCATTTTGGATTTATTGATTCTATGTATATTTGGTTTTATGACTGTAAAATATCTGGCTTTGGATTTATTGATTCTATGTATGTGTCATATCGATACGGTAATCCAAATATTTATACTAGTAACAATCAAAGTGGTTATTCTTTTTCTATTGATGCAAGAGATGAAGAGACGGCTGCTTTCACCCTCCATTACCAAGCGAACCAGCCAAAAAACTGGGTTTTGGAAGGGGCAACATTAAACCATTATAGCTTAGGCACAAGCAAATTGGATCCATGTTGGTCTTCAGCCCACTTTCTGATAGCAGCCACAGAACTTTGAGTTGAGAACATGGAAGCAAGATCAAAGAGTTGAAGAAGAAATATGTTACAAGAAATGTGATCAATATAAGAAGAAATGCTCCTAATTTTAAGGTTTTCATTATCTCTCTCTAGCCAATCTCTTTATGTAGACAGTGTATTATAGTGCTTGATATGAAGCATATTTCAAGTTTTAGCTATATATAGATCTGATGGTGGAAAAAATACATTGGAGACTTCAAATATTTTAAGTTAGTGTTTCTACAAGTCAGGATAGCAGCCATAGACTATTGTGTTAAATAATAACTAAAAGCCCCATTATTAGTTTATGAGTTGCACTATAGAGTTTTACGTGTACTTGACATCACAATTTCCATAACCATTAAAACACTCGGCAACAAAACAGAGCTAGCAGCAGCAAGGCAGAATCAACAGCAGCAAGGCAAAGACACACTCCCACACAGCACTTGGGCAGCTATTCATAGCAGCTAAACTAAAGCAAACACAACACAAACCAGAATTTATAGACATTAACAGCAGGAGGACACGGCACCTGGATAGATTTACACAGCAGATCACATGACACTCCAGTAGAATGTGTAGACAGACCACCAGAGTTTAGCCTAACCAGTTCCATATTTGAGGTACCAACACAAAAACAGTAAACAGCTCCGTTCTACATAAAGAAATACAACAATATCTAATGCTATCAGGTTGATTTAGACATTCTCCACATATTTGTCATATGTGCTTCTATCTGCTATGGTTTAGTGATGACTTGTTATAAATAAACTCACTATTATGTTGCTGTATTTGTGCAGCATGTCGTTAGAACTAATGGAGAAATACCTTCTGTTGATGAAGCAACTTTAGACCATCAAAGATTATTGGACAGGTATTCAGCTATTGTTTTAGGACTGGACAAAAGCTCCCCTTCCCCTCGTCCAGAGAAGAAAAGATATATGCATCTTTGTCTCTTTTGCCTTCCTTTATTTATTTATTTACTTATTTTTATTATTATTATTATTATTGTTATTATTATTAATTAAAGTGTGATTATATATACACTATTACAATAATACTTAATAATATCTATTTTTAATCACACTTTTTAAATAAGTATAATTATATATATATATATATATATATGTTTTAATCACACTTTCTAAATAAGTGTGATTGTATAAAATATTTTAATTTGATTTTTATATAAAATACTATTCCCAAATTTGTGCCTATTCTACCACAATTAAGAGAGCACGACTCTTTCCATTCCCAGATTGAATTTCACAAACAACACAGGTCTTCTCCTTGCCTTCTATTTCTGAAACGAAGAGTCTTTCTCCTTGCCTTTTGTTTCTGAAACGAAGCCCTATTTGTGTGTTTTGTACCCACAGTGTATAAATCTCACAGCTCACTCTTTCAACAACAGGCACACTCAACCCATATGTTTGTTCTTCATCTATGTGTGTTTTGTACTCCTTTTTCTCTATGTTCTGTTGCTATTTGTAATTCCATTCACTTTTGTATTTTTATGTTGTCACTGATGTGCTGCGAATCCGGACAACAAGGTATGTAAAATTCTTGTATTTCACTTTTCTGTCTTCTACGGAAGTGTTGAACTGATTTGTATGCTTTTCGTGTTTGTTAGTGCGTTTATCAAATTAGGCATACCATTTGTTTGATAATTTGCCTGACTAAAAATCAATGTACATGGAAATCGCGTAATGTTTTCCTTGACTGGTATATCTCGAAAGATCATGACAAACAATATGCATTAATTTGCTTTTCTTGGTTTCAAATTTGATAGAGACCTCATAGTATCTGGTGTCATTGGCCTTGATTTGTGATTTGGGGTCATTTAACTTAGGACTAGCCCAACCTAACCTTGTAATTGCAAAGCAAACTTTTACAGATACTGAATCAATTATCTGGTGTGCAATTTTGAATCTGGTTGCTCCCTGTATAAGCTTCTCTCTTTTACAATTATTTTTCTGTGCAATTTCCTTCATATTTGTAGTTTTGTTAAATTTGTGCTTCTGGTACTCTTAGTCCTACTTGATACAAAACTTTTAGATTTTAATTCTCACACAATTCTGACATTAAATTCACCTGTAGTTTGGACAACTAAAGCTATGTCATTAGCAAACAACAGACACCACATCTCAGGCATCTTTTTGAATGGTGCCTCAGAATTTATTGCTTGTAAAGAAATAAATGAAAATACTTAAGTGGACAGAAAATTGTTGCTAGCATTGGATAAAAATAGTTACTCTTGGTTGTTTCTTGATTAGCTTTCTACTATTTCTAAATTACTATTGCATATAAAACTACCTCATCACATTCTGACCATGTGATCTGAATCAGCCTACTCAAATTGCCAAATTTTCTTAGTATCGACTATTTTTATACATTACTATTATATTTTCCTAACTGCCTCTATCTTTGGATATTTATAGACTAGAACTGAAGGGTTCCGTTCTGTATGGGTCTATCAATCATTAAAGAAGTTACTGAAGCATGAGGATGTTTTAGGATTCTACAAGTAAGTTTAGGATTCTACAAGTGGTGAGGAATATATAATCACTTCGAGATTTCATTTTGGATTTATTGATTCTATGTATATTTGGTTTTATGGCTGTAAAATATCTGGCTTTGGATTTATTGATTCTATGTATGTGTCATATCGATATGGTAATCCAAATATTTATACTAGTAACAATCAAAGTGGTTATTCTTTTTCTATTGATGCAAGAGATGAAGAGACGACTGTTTTCACCCTCCATTACCAAGCGAACCAGCCAAAAAACTGGGTTTTGAAAGGGGCAACATTAAACCATTATAGCTTAGGCACAAGCAAATTGGATCCATGTTGGTCTTCAGCCCACCTTCTGATAGCAGCCACAGAACTTTGAGTTGAGAACATGGAAGCAAGATCAAAAAGTTGAAGAAGAAATATGTTACAAGAAATGTGATCAATATAAGAAGAAATGCTCCTAATTTTAAGGTTTTCATTATCTCTCTCTAGCCAATCTCTTTATGTAGACAGTGTATTATAGTGCTTGATATGAAGCATATTTCAAGTTTTATATAGATTTGATGGTGGAAAAAATACATTGGAGACTTCAAATATTTTAAGTTAGTGTTTCTACAAGTCAGGATAGCAGCCATAGACTATTGTGTTAAATAATAACTAAAAGCCCCATTATTAGTTTATGAGTTGCACTATAGAGTTTTACGTGTACTTGACATCACAATTTCCATAACCATTAAAACACTCGGCAGCAAAACAGAGCTAGCAGCAGCAAGGCAGAATCAACAGCAGCAAGGCAAAGACACACTCCCACACAGCACCTGGGCAGCTATTCATAGCAGCTAAACTAAAGCAAACACAACACAAACCAGAATTTATAGACATTAACAGCAGGCGGACACGGCACCTGGATAGATTTACACAGCAGATCACATGACACTCCAGTAGAATGTATAGACAGACCACCAGAGTTTAGCCTAACCAGTTCCATATTTGAGGTACCAACACAAAAACAGTAAATAGCTCCATTCTACATAAAGAAATACAACAATATCTAATGCTATCAGGTTGATTTAGACATTCTCCACATATTTGTCATATGTGCTTCTATCTGCTATGGTTTAGTGATGACTTGTTATAAATAAACTCACTATTATGTTGCTGTATTTGTGCAGCATGTCATTAGAACTAATGGAGAAATACCTTCTGTTGATGAAGCAACTTTAGACCATCAAAGATTATTGGACAGGTATTCAGCTATTGTTTTAGGACTGGACAAAAGCTCCCCTTCCCCTCATCCAGAGAAGAAAAGATATATGCATCTTTGTCTCTTTTGCCTTCCTTTATTTATTTATTTACTTATTTTTATTATTATTATTATTATTATTATTATTATTATATATATATTTTTTTTTGCAGCTGTGGGATTTTTATTTCATATATATAGTTTTTGATGCTGGAGATGTCTGTTCTTCTTCAGATTGCAGTTATATGAGTTGGTGGAGTCTATGGTTCATGGAGATGGAAATTGTCAGGCTAGTTTCTTACTACACTGCACCTCATGCTCTTGCGTGCCTCAAGTTCCATGTATTTGTGATGTCTTTTGCATGCCATGTGATTAGAGTTCCCTTTGTCTCTTGATGAACAGATACCGCAAAAGTCAATATCTTGAGTCGCACTAATCATTATTTTTTGGTGGGATGATGTGGTTTTGCCTTCAGTTTGCTTTGTTTCCCCCTCTAGCTTTTTTTCTCTTTATACGAGATGGCGTACTTTAGTACTATAATTTTCAATTATTTTTTTGCTTTCCTTTGTCATTTTCTTATCTTCTATCTACGTAACTCATTTTTTGATGTTTTTAATCACACTTAAAAGATGTGATGAAATCATTTTTTAATGACACTTAAAAGATGTGATTAAAAGACCCTTTTTAATCACACTCCCAAAGATCACACTTTAATTTAGAATAGAATTTGTTATCACCATCCCAAAAATAAGAAATGGCTTTAATTTTGTGAATAGCTTGTAAGCTATATAGCCTTGACTGGCTTTAATTAATTTTGTGAATTAATTTGAGCAGGGTTTTTAATAACAATGAACTCAGTGGCAAGATTCCTTCAACGCTAGGACTACTGCAGACTTTGGAGATATTGTGAGTATTTCTATCACATACCCAATTAAAATCATAATAAGATGCTAGCTGTTTGGAGATATTGTGAGTATCTCTATCACATACCCAATTAAAATCATAATAAGATGCTAGCTGTGAATACCCATTAAATTTTTTGAATTGAGTATACAGTGTTGGCAATGGATTTTCCTGGATATGGACTCATTGGTGGCCCTATCCTAATTTCAATCTCATTGTTTTTCGTTCTTGTAGTGACATGCCTGTTAACAAAGCACGTACTTTTATGTACCATTGAGTGTAGTTAATCCTAATATGATCTATGTTTGTGCATTTATATCATTGATCTTTAGACCTTATTCAAGTACCCAATAAAATAAGAAAGTCTAAATACATAGAGAATCAAACACATAATAAACACAAAAATATCTCACAAATTTACAAATGTCTCACAAAAGCAGAAAGTCTATGTTTAGTTTTCTACATTTCTAACATTGCTCTAATTAAATTACTGCGCTGGACTTTGGCAAAACAGTTGACATCACATGAAGAATGTGTTCCTATAATTCTTTTTCTCTTACATGAGCATTCACTTAGAATCTTTTTCTTCTAGTGACTTTTTATTTTCCCCAGTTGCTAAGATCACATCTGAGGCAGGTGCACAATGAATTTCATGAAAATGCCTTGCAGGTATGGACTATGAAACTATGAAGAAGCCTATATGTTGATATTATAAACATGATTCTAAAATGTGTACTGAATTAAATTTAAAATTCACATGAAACTAACAAACTGAAAAGAAAAAGACATGATCTTAGTTTTGTTTTAGAGTTTTTAACTGATTTGAGTATATACAAATGGCAAGAATGTCTGTTGTGGGTCGAAATTATTATGGTGTGTTTCCGTTGAGAGGTACATTGCTTAATGTGAGGGAAGCAAGCCATAAACAGATCATGGAGAACGCTGAAATCACGAGCATCAAGCAGATTGTTGGACTTCAGCATGGAAAGCAGTATGACAGTGTGAAGACTCTGAGATATGGTCATTTGATGATCATGACTGATCAGGTTTCAAACATTTAACTTCTTGTTTTGTTTTTTCTTTTGGTTTTATCTATATGCAATGGACAATGGTGAAATTTTATATGTTACAAAAATCTGTTTAGAATGTTTAGAATCTGTTACCAAAAATCTATTACTAAAATGTGGGACCTCTAGTGATGTTTAGAATGTCTCATGTCATTTCTTTATGTCAGCAGCTTTAGAGGAATTGAGTTCTATTCTTTTTTGTATTTTTTTTTCATGATCTTGTCAATTGACCTTGCTTCGGGTCTTTGTCATTTTTGTAAAGCTATGGTTATAATTTTTGCATCATAATTTTTTTAGTATGATCTACCGTTGTAGTTCATATATTGAAATTTTGTTAGGCTTCACCTAATATGTCTACATGGTTCTAATTGAATTTCAATCCTCTGTAGTTCCTTGCTACTGTGTCCCATGAGATCAGAACCCCAATGAATGGTGTTCTTGGTAAGTTGTTGTTATTGTCCTTTATCATTTTAAGTCATTTAAATACATTGCTTTGGGGAAAACATTAAAAAATTATTTAAAAATAAACAAAGAAAGTGGGGTTGTTCAGTGATGTCTGTATATATGTTTATTCAACAGGTATGTTGCAGATGCTAATGGACACAGATCTGGATGTAACTCAACAGGACATCCTATAGCTATATCTGCAGCAAGAAAAGTGAAACATGTATTTGCTAATGATTTAAACCCCTTTGCGGTTGAATATCTGGAAAGGAATTGTGTCCTCAACAAACTTGAGAGGAAGATAGAAGTATGAATTTAGCTTGTCATGCAATTATTGTTTAATGGTTTTCATAGATTCATTTTTCAATTTAGAAAGTGTGTATATTTATATATCTGCAACTTGCATTCGACGAAGTTGTATCATGTGGGCTTAATTATTTTGTTTTTGTATGTCTAGGTTTTTAACATGGATGGAAGGAGGTTCATTGATGCTATGTTTGCAAGTCAAAAAGCTCAATCCATCACACAAGTGGTTATGAATTTGCCAAATGACGCTGCAGAGTATCTAGGTATGTAATTATTCTGATAGAGCATAAATTCTCTTCTTCTTTCAGCAGTGAAGTTTTGTATTCTGAAATTAAATATTGAGAGTTGCTCGTATAGCTTTTCCATTTTACTGTGCTACCATTTTAAATGCTACTTACTAGGTGATGTATTGTGAAGGATTTAGATGGTAATAATTACTTATTGAGTTCTATCCTTGGACTTAGAAATTGATGTATTAAATTTTAAATAGGACATATGATGTGGTATAGTTTCAAGGTGGCTAACGTTTGTTGTGAATTTATCATGGGACAGAAGCCCTGGGAATAGCATTACAACATTAGGTATAAGATTCTTATTCTGGCTAGCTGAGTAAGGTACTTTGTTATGGCCTACTTTGGCTCTGGTTAACTCCTTCATAATCACTTTGAAAAAAGGATTTTTGAGATGTGTTTATTGGGGACCTCTTATGAGGAAGTAAGATTATATTCAGTGAACAGTCTTCATTATGCATTTCTCTTAGGATTGTAAAAAGTTAAGTTCCATCAGCATGTGGCGCTTGGATGGCAACAGTTTAAAGATTCAAAGAAATCGCTATGATCAGTAATTTAGTCATTCAAAATTATTACCTGAATGTCATATAGAAAAGAGTGGAGAAGGTGTTGGAGTTATACAAGGAATGGAGTAGATAATGGAAACCACAGAATATGTTGCGATTTTCAAAATTGCAGGCACTAGCATTCAATTGTTCTCTCTCTCAATATTTTGCCCAATTATTGCAGATGTATTCAGGGGAATATTTAGAACAAAGCCCAAGTAGAGAGAAATTACCTTGCCAAAGATCCATGTTTATGGATTCTCAAAAGCAACGTCAAATATGTAAGTTACTTGGATTTGAAAGATGGAAGTGATCCTGAATTTGTTATATAACATTCCTTTGAAGTAACTACATAAGGAGAAACAAATAAACCATAAACAAAGAAAAAGAAAAGAAAAGAAACGAAAAAATAGAGAAAACCATAAATAAGAGGAAGATTGTTTTCAACATTGTAGTAGTCTTCTATGTCTGTATATGCATGTCAAGCTTGATTGTGTTTGCCATGACCATATATGAACCTTGCACTTTTCTCTATGTTAAAAAAGGTCTCATTGTCCAATCTGTTAATACCCATTTCAAATTTGTAATTAGCAGCTTATATTCTAAAATTGACAATTTAATTACCTGCAAATGAGTTAGAAATTTTGATTTGAACTTACGATTCTCTGAAATTTCTAATTTAATTACCCATTTCAAATATTTTCATTAAAAACAAGCCTAATATTATTTCTCATTTTCTTTGGTATAGATGGATGATGGATGATGGATGATGGATGATCTCGTGCACGAAGCTAAATTGTACAAGACTACTTGGCAGTATAAGCATTTTTGGGAGGATTAAATATTATTGGATGGATGTGTATGGATAACAAATATTAGTAGTTTTATTTGTTGATAGCTGCGCATGGATAACAAATAGTTATGTTTCAATTTGTTATGCTAGATGAATGTGACTTGTGAATGAAAACTTGAATAGTTGTATTGTGTCGAATGTTAATGAATTATGTATTGTGTCGAATGTTAATAATTCAGTTAATTTGAATGATGCTTTAAAATTATAGGTTTATTATGGATTGAATGAATATTTAGGAATTACAGGTGTATTGTTTTCCTGCTTTGGTGACCAATTTATTAGTCGCAACAAATAAATAACTTTTTTTTCGCAAAAAATGACAATTGCCGACCAAGAGTTTTGGTCGCAAAAAATACATCTATTGCCGAACAAAACAGCTCTTAGTCGTGGAAACTCACTTTTGCCGACCAAAAGTTTTGGTCGCGAAAAGTAACAAATGGCGACCAAAACCTTTTTTGATCGTGGAATGTCACAATTGGCGACCAAACTTTTTGGTCGCGGAATGTCACGATTGGTGACCAAAATTTTTTGGTCGCGGAATGTCACGATTGGCGACCAAAATTTTTGGTCGTTGAATGTGATAATTGGCGACCAAACTTTTTAGTCGGGAAAATTTCACTTTTTGCGACCAAAGTGTTTTAGCGACTAAATGAATTAGTCGCGGTAATGATATATTTCGCGACCAAAAATTTGGTCGGCAAATCTGACTTTTCCCGACCAACCAAAATTTTGGTTGCGAATTACTTTTGCCGACCCTCAATTGGCGATCAAAGTAGCGACCAAAAAAATTGATTGCGGATAACTTTTACCGACCAAAAATGGGCTTTTAGCGACCAATTTTTTGGTCGGCAAAAGTGTTAATTCTTGTAGTGATTCCTATGATGAAAGTGATATCTGCAACATGCATTGTATGCAGGAGACTTAGGATAAGCTATACTTTTAATAATTACTTATATCTTGAAAAACCTAGAGAGGTATCTTTCAAGAGGAGTATTTAAAAGACTCGAAATCATAATCACCTATATGAGTGTGAATGAGACATTTCTATGAGAATTGATAAAACTGAATTCTCTAAAGCACTCATGAAAACCAAGAATTTCCCAAAGCCAAAATGAGCACAACCAAAAGAACCAAGCTGTGTTTGGAGATATTTTGTTTGAATTCTATTGTATTGGCTTACATAAACGGTTGAATAGTTCAAGGTATCATATTTACTGATTAGCTAGTATGTCCGATAGTCTTTCATTAAGGAAGGTTCAAGGCCAAAAATTACTTATCCTGATGTAGGATATTTCCATTTTGTACCATGTTTGTCAATCTCTGCATTTCATTTGCATTGTGTCGTCAATTTTATTCATGTGGGGGATTGTTGAAAAATTTTAGATGGGAATTGACTTTATTTGAATGAAAGGATGCAATTCTTCATTGTGTCTATTCGTAAGAAAAAGGTGTGAACACAAGAGACATGACCATTCTAAAGGTCACGAGTACTATAAATATAATCCCATTTCATGGCATTGATGCATAAGTTAAGGTTTGTTTTAGAATTTATATATTATGTCTAATCGAGTATATAAGAAAGAGTATATGGCACAAATTAGTTCACTGTACACACAAAAAGTTGTGCAATTTCTATGTGGGATGATCGTTATATCCTAGAAGTAGGATGCCCATTAATCGCAAGTACCAGAGGCGATGGCGAAATTTTGTCATAAAGACACAATGCTCAAACATTGCCATCGGTCATAATCTGTATTAAATGCAAAATTTTTGTAAGAAATTTCTTGTGTTTTATTTTATTATTTATTTGCATTAAATTGATTTTTCAAAAAATATTTTTCCTACAATATATCGGTTTCATGGAAGTTACAACTTTTCTGATGGTGTGAAATTATTAGGAGTTATATTGGATTATAAGTTCAAGCCTATCTATATATGCATGTGATAGTCATCAAAATACAGATGTTATTTATTAATAATAGGCTTGAAATACTATTCTTTCCACTTCTCCATATGGTTATATGAGAGTGTATTTACATATACATTCAAAACTTGATCAATTAGATCATGATTAAAAAAATCGAATAGCATAACAGAGACATCCCTCTTTCTTAATAAAATATTTAAGTTATCACATTCGTTACCACCTAAAACATTACCGGTAGTGTTACATGCACCAATTAATATACTAACTAGTGTACTAACATTAATTATGACATTATTATCGACTCCACTCATTATACAAATTACAATAATTAAAAATCTCTTAAATTATGCCACATCACCAATTGATACACTAATTAGTGCATATAATATTATTCAAACATTACAGCAAATGCAATAATCCCCAACTTTACCTTCCCAATACAACATCTAATAATTTTGAGAGAACATGCAAATTTTTTTTTTTGTTTCTGCTTCTCTCTCTTCTTTTTTATTTTATTCTGTTTTATTTTTTCTTCTTCTTTTTATGGATTGTATTGCATTAGTTGGCTGCTACTATACTTTGCACAAAACGTGTCACCCATGAGAGACTCACATTGGTGAATATTGACGCTTTCAACTTGTAAACATGTCTAATATGAATTGCAATTTAGCTGAAGATAAAAAAACTAATTTTTGCTTGTTTTTTGCCGTTTTAACCTTCATGCATGATGCTTATTAACTTCTACATATATATATATATATATATGAAGAATTATTTTTACTAATTCAATTAGGAATTGTGAAAGTTTCCTTGTCAAAACTGACTTAAAAAATATTGTTTTAAAAAAAAAAAAAAAAAAAAAAAATTGTCAATTGATAAAAGAATATTTACAAAACATTTTGTCCAACACCAGTTCATTATAGGAAACAAATAAATAACTGAAAAAAAAAAGTATAAATATTTAATTTTTGTTTATGACATAAATTTCACCTGAACTCTCGGTTAAAAGTATACAAAAGTGACCAATTGATCTGACTTAGTTATTTTACAAAAATGTTTACATATGAGCACAAATTAAAGTCCACATGGCACCCATATACACAGTGAAAACACACAAACAAGGGAGAGAGAGAAATACAAATATTTAGAAAATTTTCTTGAGAAACAAATTAACAACAAAAGTTGAGGACAAGGGCAGCACAATCAGAATATGGTGAAATTAAACTACATGAACGTTTGAATATTTGTGTTGTAACTTGAAACCACACCTTCTTCCCCTCTTATGAACTCACACTTCTTCTTATTCCACTCTCAACCCATCATTAGCTTGGTAACTTCTGATTTCTACAAACATGGCTTTTTGTGGGTAACACATATCCTTGAAACCCACTAGGGCTAATAGGACCAGTTCGGTTTTACAAGCTCGTCATGACAAATCCACTTTCTTTTCTTGCAACTATTTTGTGGGCAAAGGCGATGCATGGCAGGCTATTAGCTACCCTATCTTTAATAGATCTCCAGAACTAAATTCTTTCCTCTGCGTCAATGGCTTTTGTTATCCCACTTTCATCACAATGATTCATCTAAGAGGGATAACAAAAGCCATCGACGTGAAAGAAAGATTATAGTTCCGGAGATTTATTAAAGATATGGAAGCTCATTGCTTGCGATGCATCGCCTTTGCCCACAACAAAGTTGTAAACAGGAAAAAAAAAATAGGCCTGTTTATGAGGAACTTGACGAAGCCAGACTGACCTTGTCAGGGCAAGTGAGTGTCTTGTCTTCTTGATCAATTAGTTGACCTCTATGTTCCCTGCAAAAAGAAGAGAGAGAGAGAGAGTGAGAGAGAGAGAGAGAGAGAATATCAAACTGTCACATTTTATATCAACAATGCAAAAGAAGAAGAAGAAGAAGAAGAAGAAAGAAGAAATGGAATGAAAATCATAATAAAGAAAGGAGTGAAATATCTATCTTTTGAGTTTCAAATATGACCAGAATGAACCAGTTAGGATGTGTGAGTTTGAAGAAGTAACGATTGTGAAAGTCTTAGACTCAACATAGGTGGGTATGTGTGTGTGTCTATTTTTTTTTTTTTTTTTTTTTTGGGTGGGGATACTTTTTTGGGTGGGTGGGGTGGACACTCCAACATGAACATTGTGTACAAAATTTACTACACAGCTAATAATGAAAGTTTATGTTAGAAGAGGTGAAGATTTATGGGTAGAGTGGGGTTGAGAAGCTTAAGAACACACACACACATATACACACACACATATATACATATATAGGGTTAGGCTTAGATGTGAGTAATGCAATATGTGAGGAAAGGCATATCTGACTTATCACTGTTAGGTGAAAAGAAAAATAAAAATGATTTCAAATAAAAAAGTATGTACAGAAAATACATCTAGGATGGTGTCATCCATATTTTGAAATGATAAATGATTTATAAATAGAAAATTTATAGAAAATTTATATTTAGAATAATGTGTCAATAACATTTATAAAATTGTAAGGATAATAGTAAATGGTGTTTTGGATATGACTTATAAGTTGAATTTTTTTGCTTATTACAGAATTTTTTTTATAAAAAAAATAGAAAAGTAATATTATCCAAATAAGCCAATAAATCAATAAATAACTTATTTATAGTGTTGCCAAAAAGACTTTTAAGTGTTTTGATTGGAAATGAATAGAGCACATGAAGTCACATCATTCCATAAGAAATTATGAGAAGGAAAATATTAGATCAACAAAATTTTTATACAAAATTTCATAACAAAATAACCTGGCAAAGGCAATATTGGTAATATGAGCCATGATGGGCCTTTATTTTTTAAATAAAAGACACAAAGCTGCCATGTCATTTAAGGTCATATTTATGTATGAATTTTTGTTTATATAATGTTAAATGAAGGGAAAAAAAACCAAAAGCTCGATTTAGAACTCTTAAAAATTACAATAAAAGTGATAAGTTGAATAGCATTTACAAAGGCATGACAGTTTGGATGTAATTTGACGAATTTGCCTTCCTACCTAGAGTATATTTTTTCTTTTTCTCACATCACATCAGTTACTCATATTCTCAATCACACTTATAAAAAGTGTCATGAATAGAGGGGTAAATTTGTCAAATTAAATCACATTTAAATTTTCATAATTTTATAAATATTTTTTAATTTATCTTTGTAATTTCTCAAAAAAAATAAAAATAAAAAAAAAAGACACCTAAATATGTACAAAAATGTTCTCTCATGAAAATGATTGATCAACTTGTTTTTAGTTTCGATCAAAAAAACGTGTTAGTCAGGTTCATTCATGTATTCTCGAAACTCTATTATTGAAGGGTACATGGACCCCAATTGACTTGACTTGACTTGGGTTGGGTCTTTTATTTTTTTGTTTCTTGTATTGTAAATTATGCCCATTGAATGAATGATTGAATCGTTCACATGGACTTTTCTTTTTTGGTTTCTTGTATTGAAAATTATGCCCAATGAATGAATGATTGAATCATTCACATGGACTTTTCTTTTTTAGTTTCTTGTATTGAAAATTATGCCCAATGAATGAATAATTGAATGATTCACATGGACTTCGGCTTATGTTCAAGAAGGAAATTTCTCATATGAATCTATATATGAGGGTTATTTTGAGTATAATTTATAAGTTGATTTTTTTTATTTATTATGGAAAGATGTGTAAAAAAATAAAAAAAACATATTGTGACTGAAATAAGTTAATAAAATCAATAAACAACTTATTTATGTGCTCCCCAAAAAGGCCTTAGGCTTCATTTGCCATGTGCTTGTTTTAGTTTAAAAGTCAAAACGTTATTAAAAAAATCAAAAAGTCTAGAACCTATATAAAAAAGTCAAAGATTTTCTTTTCTCTCTATTTTTTGCACATCTTTTCATAAAAAACTAAAAAGTCATTTCAAACATACTAGGTTTTTTTACCTCATATTTTAGTTAAAAAGTCAAAAAATTACTAAAATAACCTGTTACCAAACAAGGCCGCAGTATCATTTTTTATGAGATTATACCATGAATTTTCTAGGATAACTTAAATGTTAAATAATTTATTTATTTTATATGTTTATACAGTATTGACATATGAAGTTGTATAATAAAAATAGTATAAAAATGTGATAATTTGGTTTTGGTTTTGGTTTTCAGGAAATACTTTTCAAAAAATTTTATTTTTTCATTTTCCATATTTTTTTTATTTTGAATGAATTTTTTTAATTTTTAGACACACTTAACATAAATACACCTAAAGAGTATAATATTTATAAAAAAGATATTTAAATAATTCACTAAATACCAAAAATACAAAAAAAAAAAACAAAAATTTAATACATTTTTCATATTTTTGTGTATTTATTAATTTTTTAAAATATTTTTTCAAAAATAGTTTACTATTTAGATACATTTAAGTAAGGTATATCTAAAAAAGTAAAAAAAAAAAAAAAAAAAATTTTGCTTACTATTTTAAAAATATTCATTAAAAAAAATCACAAAAAACAAAAAACTGAAACCAAACACATTAATTAGTTTTTTTTCTTCTAATAAACCCAAATCAGGTTGAGGATTATAAGACAGGTTTCAATCCTCTAAGAGGAATTCCAACAGATATTTTGTCTAATAAAAATATACATTTTTGAAAAAAAATTTACTAGTTAATTTAGTTAATATGTATATCAACAAGACTTTATTTAATTAGCCATTCAAGATTTTTTTATTTATTTTTCTTTTTTTTTAAATAAAAAAAATTTGCATTCACTAATGAGATAGAAAAAGGGGAAGGGAAGGGGAATGAAGAGTGTATATATATATTATGTTTATATAGTTTTTAGTAGCCAACCAAATGTTGCTAGAAAGATTAGTAATAGATAAAATGTCTAGGCATGTGAAGAACTTGTTGGAGTTGCAAAAGTGGAATAAGTTTTTTTTTATTTTATTTTAACGGCAGGTGGAATAAGTTGGATACTTTGGCTCACAGTCTTCATTTAGAAAGCAAGTTGAAAATGTTATTATAGTTGGAAAATGTTTTGTGGCCCGAATCTGCTTGTTCTGAATATTCTACTTTTTTCTGCTGAAAAGAAAAAAAAAAAAAATTAGGGGCATTCGGGGCGTCCCGTTTTTAGGCCCCCAATCACTACCGATTATAGTTTGTGTATGAGCAATTATTGCGTAAAGAAAAATAATTCGTAAACTAAGTTAAAAAGGGAGGTGGGTGACTGCTGTGCTAAAGGCACAGTAATGATTATTGTACTTTAATTTGAGGTATATTATGAGCTTATTTTTACGATCCGAACCGTTATTTTGTAGAGTTTGTTGAGTACTTCGTGCCTACCAAAAATTATATTAATCGGATATCAATAACCATATGATCGATAACCAAAAAAATAAACAATAAGTTTTTCTTTTGAGAAATAGCATAAAAAATATGCAATACGATCATATAGTTATTGATATTCGATTAATATGATTTTTATTAGACATGAAGTACTCAACAAACCCTACAAAATGAGTGGTTCAAATCATAAAAATAAACCTATAATACAACTCAAATTGAGGCACAACAGTCACTATTGTGCCTTTAGCACAGTAGTAACCCCATTTCCGTTAAGAATAGTAACAGAAACTTTAGAAATTTAGAACTGAAGTATAAAACAATAAATTAAATTACGGGCCAAAAAAAAAAGAAAAAAAAAAAGCTAGGATTTGATCATTGTAATAAAATAAACTATAAATTTTTAATTTTGTCAATTTAAACCTTAATCTTTTAATTTGTTTTCAATTTAAATCACTCTCTTATTTTTGTTAAGTAAAATTGATAGGAAAAAAAAAAGTTTTTTAGTCATTAAAATCAATATACGTAAAATGTCTAACATACACTTTTCATTGAGTTTAATGACTAAAATATTTATTTTTTTATAGCACAGTAGTAACCCCATTTCCGTTAAGAATAGTAACAGAAACTTTAGAAATTTAGAACTGAAGTATAAAACAATAAATTAAATTACGGGCCAAAAAAAAAAGAAAAAAAAAAAGCTAGGATTTGATCATTGTAATAAAATAAACTATAAATTTTTAATTTTGTCAATTTAAACCTTAATCTTTTAATTTGTTTTCAATTTAAATCATTCTCTTATTTTTGTTAAGTAAAATTGATAGGAAAAAAAAAAGATTTTTAGTCATTAAAATCAATATACGTAAAATGTCTAACATACACTTTTCATTGAGTTTAATGACTAAAATATTCATTTTTTTAATCAATTTTATTTAATGAAAAAATGTAAATGATTTAGATTGAAAATAAATAAAAAATTTAGGGTTTAAATTAATAAAATTAAAACTTCATGTTTTATTTTGTTACAAGACTCAAATCCCTTTTTTTTTTTTTTTTTTTTTTGTAATTGTCCCATTAAATTAAACCATAAATATGTACAGTAGAAATTACAAACAAAACTATTCACTTTGTTTGGTTCTACTTTTCAAAAAACAGTTTTCAAAAAATTCTACTTTTTTATATTTCATATTTTAATGTTTTCGATGATTTTTTAAAATATTTTAAGCAATTTTTTTATTTTTTAGGCACACCTAACATAAATACAGTTAAAAAGTATAATGTTTGTGAAAAAATCTTTAAAAAATACACTAAATATCAAAAAATACAAAAAAAAATATATATGAAAATTCAGTACATTTTTCGCATTTTTGTGTTATTATTATTTAAAAATATTTTTTCATAAATATTTTACTATTTAGATACATCAAAATAAGATTCATTTAAAAAAGTAAAAAAATTGTTTAAAATTAAAAAAATATTCACTAAAAATAAAAAAAATACGAAAAATAAAAACTTAATTTTCAAAAAACTAAATTCAAAAAGCTGAAAACAAAAACACTGATTATAATTGGAAAAACTTACAATACTATGGGAAAAAAATTACAAACACAAATTTGGATCAAGAATTATATTGGGCATAATTTTCTTGTAATAAATTTTGCCCTTACTTTAGTGTTTCGAGATTTAGCGGCATTTGTTTCCTAAAATGCAATGACTTACAAATGCAACAACACACGTCAAAGTCTGGCTAACC